GTATTACCAGATTGAGCAGCACAATGAATTGGCAGGTGACCTTTACTATTAGCTTGATGAGGATCTAACTGATAGGTAGTTATTAATTCTTTAACAAGAAATAAGTTAAGAGACAATGAGGCATAATGTAAAGCAGTGAGGCCATCCTTATCAACTGCAGTAGGAGACAAACCTTTTTCAGTAATAAGATACTTAACTAAATCAAAGTTGCCACTTGATGCAGCATGATGTACTAATGTGCCTCCTTCATTATCTGTTTTATTAATATCACAATGCTGTACCTCAATAAGATATTGTGTGACATCAATATGACCATTACGACAAGAGCGATGAAGACACGTCATACCATTATTATCAGAGATGTTAGGGTCACTGCTATGATTACTAATAAGATACTTCACAGAATTGATACTACCTGACCAGCAGCAGTAGGCTAATGGTGTATAACTATAAGTATAATCAGCTTTATTAGCATTGAGATTATACTGAGATATGATATAACTTAATACACTAGTAGAACCTGACCAGGCAGCATAATGTACTGGAGACCTACCATAATTATCTAATGAAGAAGCGATATTATATTCCTCTAATGCTTTTACTAGTAATATGCTGCCACTGCGTGATGCTAAATGAAGTAATGAACGTCCATCATTCGTATTAGCATTGATGTCAAAGTTAGAACTGGTCCTAGCTTTCTTGAGAAGTGATGCAAACATTTTAACTCTTTCATTTCGCTTGATAAAATCAATATTTTTTTTAATTCGAGTATTATTAATAATCTCAATAACTGATGCATCACGTTGTGCAAAAAGCTTACTATACACAATACCAGCTGGAATATACATAGCTGCATCACATGCACGATGTAAGCACGATCTACCATTAGTATCAATGGTTAATAATGCTTCATTACCTTTAATGCTAATAATATATTCAACAACTGATGATGAAGCAAACCATGAGGCAGTATGAAGTGGAGTCCTATTTTGTTGATCTTTTACATCAATGGATAATTGGTATCGAGTTAAAAGATACTTAAAAAGCTCAACATTATTGTTCATACAAGTGTAATGCAGGACAGCACCTTGAAAAATGTCTTTTGAGTCTGGTGAAAAGAGGTTTAATGATTCAAGCTTGTGGACTAATGCTAACTCTCCACTTTGACAAGCTAACAAGGATAATGAGGCACTAATATAATTTATCTGAGAAGTATTGCAATTCTTCTCAATAAAGAATTCCACTAGGTCAGAATGGCCCCCCATTGCTGAGTACAGTAATGCAGTGTTATTGCTACTGTCTGGTTGATCAGGAGGAACGTGACACGTGTCTACTAGATATTGTACTATAGATAAGTGGCCTTTATAAGATGCCATATGTATACTAGATACACTATTATCATCACCTTCATTAGGATCACTACCATATTGGATGAGAAGTTGAAGGATCTTCATGTGTCCACCATATGATGCAGAGTGTAATGGAGTCCAGCCATGAAGACCACG